GTTTTGTTGAAATCAAAATGCAAAGTATATTAATTACTATTCTAAGCTACATAAAACTAGAATAAGAACAAAGATATCCATTGCATGTCAACACGAATTTTTTATTCTGCGAGAACCAATCTTTTTGCGGGAAACCTTGCAAAAATTATTCCTTCATTGTGAATTGACTTTAATAAAAGTTGGATGCTGATAACGAAAAGTATGATATTCCAAAAATGTTTCGATTAATTATCGGACAGTTTATGTCTGATAATTAATCGAAACATTTTGGGATATCATACTTGTTACCCCTTTTATAATGAACTGTACAATAAATTAGACTTCTCGTACGTCACCTTCTGTTATAGAAAAAGAGAACGATCCAGTCTTACACAATAATTGTGCCCTTTAATATTCTTTTCTCAACACCATTGTTACATCTGTATTTTGTTTCGTCTGATTTTTGTCACCCCAATCCCACAGGTTTGCTTGCAGTGTTATGGCTTCCGTCACCAGTTCTCTGCATTCGTTTGTGTACTACATCCTTAGTATCTTCAAATCGTACGCGAGACCGAATTTTGCGAAGAAATTAGTGAAATTGAATATTGAATCTGTAGTTGCCCAATTCTGCCATTTTATAATCTCACGGGAACACGTGATGATATAGTTGTGCCAACATTCACCGAGCGCCGTGACAGCCACCATTTTATTTTCCAAAGGATTGATATATCTGAAGAAATCAATTAATTGTTGCATCAACTATTTATCGATTATTTCTTTCTCTTCTTCTTTCTTTGTATATCTTTTATGTAAGCCTATTACCATGGACAATAACACTAACCTATCATATAGTTTGTTTCCAAACACGTAAGCCGCAGAATTGACCAACCAAGTTATATTCAGCGTAAAAACGTAACGCAAAACAGTGGGAACGAAGTAAGCGTTCGACCAAGTCTCGTTCCAACAGTAGACAGGAATGACAGACGGTAAAATAAAACACAATAGAGGCATCAGATACATGTAATATCTGCAAACACATTATGAGACATATTAAAAAACTCATTTGTTATATTCTTATCTTTTCTATTTACAGCAGACCTTCATTTATATAAACTAGCCGAGAGGCAAGCAAAAACTAACATAATTCAAATTAAAATTCAATTTAAATAAATGTAGTTTTATCTTCTGTATTTATTTACTTTCGTTCGTATTCATATCGCCTGTGTAAAATATATATATTTCAATCCAATATCATTTCTTTTTAATTAAAAAAAAAAAATCTATTGATTTTCAATTGATGTAGAAAAATCTAGTTATTTAATAAAGAACTTTTTCTCTCCGCTTTATCGAATCACGAAAAGGAATCAATGAAGAACACTCACTTTTTCTGGAACATCAATATAGGATTGTTTCTCAGGTCACTGAGATCGATTTCTTCGCCTTTCTTAGCGATGTCTGCTGGGTGTTTCTTGCACAACAACCAGCCCACGTGCGCGAAAAAGAATCGACGCTGTATTTATGGTAAAGTCTGTGATCTCTGGCCCAATCGATAGCCGCATTCTATCAACGATAAATAAAAAAGATGTATTTAAAAAAGAAGAAGGACAACGCTGATTTCAGTTGAAAAAGAAGCGGAAAAAATAAAGACATGACTAAGATTAAAAATATTAAAAAAATGTGACTTCCTATTCTGCAGTTGCACCTAAAATCATTCATATCTGCCATGCCTACCATTCATATCTACCATAATTATTCTTGTCAGAAATGAAGTCATTGATTTCAAATTTCATGATTTTATCCGTCAGATGCAAGGCGATTCATGTTTGGATAATAATTTTCTCCAGTTTTATTACGTAGCAAAATCATACAATTTGTCGTTTACTAATTATTTAATTGACTCGATGCGCTATGGCGTTGAATATCACCAGCAATATCTGGAGTGGCCATTTTGCTTTGTATAATCTGTGTGCTCATAATCTGTGAGCACCAGCTGTAATTTCCAAACTACTACATAGATACAAAGATATTGCTAAAAAATAAAAACAAACGGTAAAAAAACTACTGATCAATCGTGTTATGTAATTGTTTATGTCATTTTCGACAGATCACATCTACTGTAATCTCTGAATTTTTAATACGTTAATATGTTTTAATACGTAACACATTAATACGTGAAACGAGAAAAGATTCTAAACTTTTTCGATAGAAATGCGAATTTCTTTAAAAAAAATTATCAGAGTTTATTTATTGAACAAGAATACGCGATAAAATGATAGATTGGATAAACACGATCTAAACGACGTCTCGAGAACGACTGCTTCGCAAAATCGAGATTCATTTATCTAGTTGATGACAAAAGCACTCGCACGCACACATACATTGTACAACATTCATCGATATATTACAACAGAAATAGGCATAGCGATGAAATTTTATTTAATTCGTTAACTTCTCTGTGAAACATTAAACGAAATGTTAATTGCAACTTTGCAATCTGTTAATCATTGCATTTAATCTTAATTATACCACGACCATGGTAATTGTTGAACAGTAATATAGAAAGCATTTGTTTTGAAATTTGCATCAACAAATATATAGATATAATTTAATACTGAACATTTCGTCAATATAAGCTGTTACTCTTCTCTCTTTTGTCGCTTTCTTTCAGATCATTAACACTGACTAAGTAATTTGTACTAAATGAAATGCACAGTTCTGTAATCCAGATTCATTCATTTTGTCACGTAGACCCTCCAGGTTAATGCTGTCAAATAAAACTTGTTATACCTATTCGCATATTATTTATAGAATTAATTATTCATGGATCATGCGATCATTAGAGATCACGTGAAATATTAATATGTAATGCGCATTAATATATAAATTGCTGTTTCTAAAGCGAAAAAAAAGATTTTTTGTTCTTTTCACCTTTAATACTCGGTGCTCTTCCGTCATAGCATATTTTTCTCGTAGGAATTTAGGTTTACAAGTTTCTAGGAATAGAGGAAATTTACGACACAGATTTAAAAGAAATCGAAATAAAGAAAAATTCTTGGAGGGCCGCTAAAATTTATGATACAATGAACTTCCACTTCAAACTTCCAACAAGAATGTCAGAAGATTTAACCTATGTTCCAGTTCTTATTGTTAGATCAGAAAGATATATACTGGGATGAGAAAATTTTTGGGACCATTCGATTATACACATTATATACAATTTACCTTATTTTTCAAATAAATGCGAAGAAGATGAACACAAGTTGAGATGGCCTTTAATAAAGACACAATGTGCTACTTAAAAAAAAAATTGAAAATTGACATTTGATAATTATATAATTTCATAATTATGTAATGAGATCGAACCGAGATTTACTTTACGTTGAGATTAAATTTAATCAGCATGAGTTCATTTAATCGAAGCAATTTTATTTAATATTTCATTCAAATCAATGAAATCCGTAGAAACAGATCTCTAACTTTGTCGTTTCGTGGATTTCGTTTCACAGTTTTTTACACGATTATCCAAATAGTCTTTTCGTATTCCTTAAAGAGTGAATTTAAATGAAAAATCTTGGTCAAAGATTTCAAGTGAACAGAGTTCTATTGTAATTCGCCGTTTCGTCAAATCTATTCTCCTCGTATTCTTGAAAATGGTCAAAAAGTGACCAAATTGATTTTTCAAACAGTATTGCATTTATTTCATACGCGCTTCGAATGGACATGTTATTACGATGAAAAGACTGTGAAAAGACGATGAAAATATATATATATATTTTTTTAGAATGCTTCCTTTCAAATAAGATACGTGGTTTTTTTCTGATTATATCCACAGAAGATGAAAACAAAATTACTTAAATGACAATATTTTTTTTATTCTTACTTTTTTTCTTGATCTTTACTCGAGGAACGAATAAACGCAAAGTGAAACTGTACGCGAGTTATTTTTTTAAATTAAACGTTGCAAAGTCTTTTTGCTTGAAACGTATCTTTTTTTTTGTCTTCTTCTTTTGTAATATATAACATAAATCGCTCGAATTTGTTCGCAAATGCAACGAAATATTGTCGATATTTTAAATTAAATATTAAACTAAATTTTCCTAATTTCTTAAAAAAAAAAAATCGTACCAAAACTAGTTGATCTCATTTTAAAGCGTGAGATCTAAAATTCATTTTTTTCAAAGACAGTTTCACGCAATAGGCGGCAAAGTAAGGATACTTCTTTAATTGGGTGCAACAAAAGCTGGGACTGATTCTATATGAAAAAATAAGTCAAAAACAGAGGGATATAATTTGTTCATTTGAGGTTTTTGGGAAAATCGAATTTGAAAATTCTTGAGCATTCGATTTACAACGTAATACCAAGTATGTATCTTGTAAACAATATCTACTTCCACGCGACTCAACAATCACGTTTGCTCCTTTTCTTTTAATAGTATAATGATGTATGCCATTTTTTTTCATATAGAAGTATGTCATCAATGTACACAGTAGTAGCTAACATATGTATGTAATCAAATGCTCACAAACTTGGTGAATTTTCTCGAAAATGAAGGAATGAACGAAATTTTATTCCTTTCTTCCGACTTATTTCTCACGTAGAATTCCCTCTGTCCAATTGCATTTCGCTACATCCTGTATAATAATAATTATTTTCTCAAAACTTTATCAGACAAATATTAATTCAAGTGTAGTTTCTTTGTCAGCCAGAAATACTGAAATGCAAACTTTGCAGCAAAGAAATCAAAGTGCAAGAAATGATAGAAGGAAAATCATAGCAAAAGGAGAACAAACCTACGAAAGTCCCTTTCGAATCTCTAAAGATGCATTGTTGCAAGTTGAATTTCAATGTCAAAATTATGAGTACCAATCATTTTTACCAGCATGGTACTCATAATTGGTAATGGTACTTCTAGTATTAAACAACATTTGAAAAAAAAGAAAGTTCAAACGACGCTAGCGGACTCTAAGTTCATCATTTTGAGTCCAACGTGCTGTTCGTCGCTCCTTCTTCCGCCGTTTAAATTATTCAAAATCGTACGTATCTTTCGCAAGAAGTGCATATGATTAACATTTTCATACATGAATTATATCATTTAATAAGATCTATCCTGATCTCGATGCTCACGACTTCTTTGGCCGTTTCTTTTTTCTTTAACCTCTCTTTTCTTTTCCTGCCTCACATTAGCCACTGTTTTATAGATTTTATCGTTTTATCGCAGAGTTGATATTGCGACATCTCCGTATTTCCTAATGAAGTCGCTATCAGGTCGAATTACCCGCAGTGACCACTGTTCGGAGATCGATCATTAGAGCAACGACGTGTGATAGGTGCCTGAAGGACGTTTATTTTTCGGAGCAACTAGCAGCCGTAAACAGTTATTATTATCCACGAAGATTTTGAAGCCCTTCGTTTCGTTCGTAGAAGATTGAAGTTTCGTAGATTGTTTGGAAAATAGTGGACACATTTAAGGCCTTTAGTTCAGAAAACTGTGGGTGTACAAGATTTTTAACTTGGAAAATTGTGGTGCGGAAAATTATGTTTCGTAGATACGTAAGTTTCGTGGATGTAGAGTAAGTCGTGGATGTGCGTATTTTTGATTTGGAAAAATGTGGATATGTAGGATTTTTAGTTTGGAAAATTGTGAATTCATAGGATTTGGATTGGATTTTTAATTTAGAAAATTGTAGACATGCAGGATTTCTGGTTTGAAATTGGATTTAAAGGATTTTTAACTTTTGTGGAAAATTATACAAATGATTGTATCTCTACGCTTTACTCTTTATATGTCTACGCAGCGCGACCGTGTAGCTCGCTCGATTAGATCTGTACTCTCGATAGAATCCAATTGCATTCGCCTGCATTTCCGACTGTCCTTTATAGTCCACAGGTAGAGTTTCTTGTCCCTTTTAGGAATCTGGCAGGTCCTAGAAAGTCGAGGGGTCCTGTTTATTTATTTTATGATGGACTTTCAACATGGGTGCCATACTACTCCCGACTTTCTTTACACTTGGGAGATTATGGATTGGAAAATTTGGACAATTGTGGATATGTGAGATTTTTAGTTTAGAAATTACGGGTCTATAGGATTTTAGCTTGAAAAATTTTAGATCTATAGGATTTGGAGAATTGTGGATTTTTATCTTGAAAGATTATGGATTAGAAAGTTGTAAATATATAAAGTTTTTAGGAAATTGTGAACGTATAGGATTATTTGGAAAATTGTGAATACGTAGAATTTTTAATTTAGGAAATTACGGATGTGTAGGATTTTTAGTTAATTAGAGAGTAATCAATTTTTACTGTTTTATAAAAACAAAAATGGATAATTAAAAAGCGAGAATAGGAAATTTTCAACAATGAGAATTGAATTGACAAGATTTCTATGAAGATAGTGA